AGCTTTTGCAGCCTTTACCTCTTTGTTTTTCCGATCAAGCGGCTTGCGAAGGCCGTTAACTCGGAGCAGGGCCTAAGTAAAAAAAAAAAAACAGGCGTCAGTTTCCAAACAAAAAAGAAAACAGGCGTCCAGAATATTCAAATACTCAAAAATATGCTAAGTATACCTCAGCAAGGACCCCTGCAATCCCGTCAAGGTCAAGGGAGCCGACACCCCTGACCGCCTCCCTTTCAGACGGAGGAACTGCCCTGATCATAGACTTGGCCATCTCTACCAAGTCAGGCCCCTGGGGGCCGGCTGCATCAAGCATAAACAAACGGATTAGACTTAGAAAAAAAAAAAAAAAAGAGCAAGTCTAAAATTTACAAGGATAACTTCATACCTCTAGGCGGCCCAGTTGGAGCTTTAGAAGAAGTGGCCGGCTGTTTCTCAGCCGCCACCTGTTTCCTGGCAGAACCAGGAGAGCTCCCAACAGTCGTCTTCCGGGCCTTGGGGTCCGGCTGTTGGGAAGATGAAGCTCTTGGAGCACCCGTCTAAAACAGAAGAAAAAAGTCAGTATATGCATAAACACTCCAAAAAGAGGGTGAAAGGTTCGGAGCTCACCAAGGGTGCCCCCTTTTTGGGGGAGTCGGTTGAAGCTTGTTGCATAATAGAGGCCCGCAACATGGCCGTCGCAGTCTTGGAGGCGGTGATTTTGCTCATGGCGTCAGCTGCAAAAACAAACGGCAAAGTTAATAAAAGATAAACAACAAATGTATGAAACAACAGAGTATTCGACAGGCCGACTACCTCTTGAGCACCGACTGCTGAGGCCACAGGCGGCCAAAAAGTACTCGTCATAGAGCCACTTGAAGCTCGGGACGCAGTGCAGGGGTACTTGCTCTCGTACCCCTGAAGTAGAGTCGACCCTCGACTCTACTTTAAAGAGTCCTTTGTCAAGGATCTCTTTCTTAGCCTTGGGGGGAACAGGCAGCATGCTACGGCCGCCTGCAAGAAGGGGCGGATTCCTGTTCCACCTATTGAAGCGCTTGTTCAGCTCAATGTCTGAACTCTCAATGATGAGGAAGGTGCTCCGCCAGTCCTTCCACTTGTTTGCTTTACCTCTCGTCATGAGGTAGCCCCTGTGGCTTGTTAATTGATACCAGCCGGTACCGCCTGTCTTAGGGGTCCGGCTGAGATAGTTCATATGGGCGAAAGCCTCGAAGCTCGGCTCCACCCCGTGCAGTTCGCACCCGGCCACATAGCCGAGTACGTTGACCCAGGAGTTTGGGGCTAACTGCCATAACCCCAACTCATACCCATCCAAAATCCGCTGAACAGCCGGATGTAATGGGAAGCGCAGCCCTGCCTTGATCGCCGCCTCGTAGCAGCCAAAGCAGCCGCTATCATAACTGGAACCAGCCGGCCAGACGTTTATGATAGCTTATATTGTTTCAACATTGGGGACAATGTTTATGATAGCTTGGGGGGGAGTATTTTCTCATTTACCATTGGTTCATGCTGTGTTCTCGTACGTATATGTTGATTTGCATGCCCCTATTCCCATTTCCCTAACATCCAAACCCTTTGAATCCAAATTGCTTCCTTTGAAATCCAAATCCCTTGCATTGTGAATACTTCTCCTATCCCTTATTTAGATGTATAGTTATTTTATGCCTAAAAAAAAAAAAAAAAAAAAAAAAGAGAGAGAAAAAAAGAGAGAAAAAAATGAAAAAAAAAATGATGAAAAAGTGCCCAAGGATGAAACTCATATGACGATTATATGTTTTGCTTGCTTGACTCTTGAGTGATGAGTAAAAGTTTTTTTTAGAAGTGTGTGTGCACGAGTTGGGGGTCATTTAGAGGTCTATTAATCTTGATTGCATTGGAGTATATGAAATGAAAGCCAATGAATGCTCAATTGCACGCCTAGTATAAGATATTGTCTAATTTGCTCAAGTAGGATATGTTTGAATAAATTTGTGGTCCCTTGTGCCCTTGATGTGTCCCCTTTCCTCCCCGAAATGAAACTCTATTAGGGAATTGGTTCTACTTGTATCATGTGTAATAAGTGGCGTAATAAGCCACACGTTCTCAATAAAGAAAGAGCCGCTCACAGTTAAAAGAGGCGAGGGCATTGAAAATTGAAAAAAAAAGAAGAGCATAAAAAAAAGGGGAGAACAAAAACTACCCCAAAACTTCTAAAAAAAAAAAAAAAAATTCTCTTCTTTAGAGGTCAACTCGTGGATGCCTCCCACACCTTGTTTGCATTGTTGTTTCTTATGAAATTCCCGAGTTAGAGTGTAGTTAAGGGGCCTTGGGTGTGCATTTTGGGAGGTGGACTAGCATTTTGAGATTTTATAACCGAAAGAGGGCTTGTTACAACTTTGGAATATCTAGGTGTGCTCTAATGAAATAGTAAAAGGCCAAAGGAAGTATCCTAGTGCAACCTTGTTTAGTTCTCCTCTCTACCCCAACTCATGTGTACATTTGTATGATTGGTAATTCTTGAAAGTTGTTCACTTGTCTTGCTTTTGAATCACATCCCGATGAGTTGACTTGGGCTATAAAAAAAAAAAAAATCGTGTGTTGTGTTTGTGGGAGTTGTGGGTGATTCTCTTTGGAAACCCTCACGAGAGATGGACTCGTCCTACTAGGCGACTTGTAGGTTTAAACGGCTTCTCACTTTTGCTAAAAGTGATCGTTCGGTTTATTGTGTATGCCTACCCTTTCTTGGTTTAACTTTTGCTTCAACCTTCTATAACAAGTTAGTTCCCTCTATTTGTTTTGTCATGACTAGTTTGCTCGAGGACGAGCAAAAGCTTAGCTTGGGGGGATTTGATAACTTGCTATTTTATGCGGTTTTAGGGCGTATTTGAACCTAGTTTACCTGAACAAATTTGTGTTTTGGTTCACTTTTACCCTATTATTATGCAATTTTTGTGTATCCTATGCTTCACGGGTTGTTAGTGTTTTTGTTGAGATTTTAGGTCCAAAGACGACCAAATGAAGCCCATGGTTACCAAACCGAGGTTAGAAGCAAGGAAATGATGGAAAGAATCCAAGTACAAGAGCATCGTAGAAGAAAACACGAAGAAAAGGGCCCAGAAGACCCTGCACGGCCGTGCAAGATGTTGCACGTCCGTGCAGGAGTGCAGACTTGAAGCCATCTTTCTGCCAAGGCCTGCACGGACGTGCCAAATATTGCACGTCCGTGCAGATGATGCAGCACGGACGTGCTTCCGTGATTATGAGGCAGCACGGCCGTGCAAGATGTTGCACGTCCGTGCAGGAGTGCAGACCTGAAGCCATCTTTCTGCCAAGGCCTGCACGGACGTGCCAAATATTGCACGTCCGTGCAGATGATGCAGCACGGACGTGCCAAAGGTGCACGCCCGTGCTGCAGCAGGTCGTCTTAAACTGAGTTTCTGCCTTGGTCTGCACGGACGTGCCAACTATTGCACGTCCGTGCAGACCTACAGTTTACCCGTTTCTTGTTTTCACCGTCCTCTTATTTTAGGGGGTAATATAAATAGCCCCTTTGGACCATTTTAGAGGGGTTCCCAATTTTTCCAGATTTTCATACTCCTCTTAGTTTGAAACACAAAAATCCTCAAATTAGCATAGATTTTAGTTCTTGTTTTGAAGGTTTTTCAATCCAATCATTGTAGAAGACAAGTTCCACCATTGTTAGTCAATTATTGAAGCTTCTAGTAATTTTTTCTTACTCTTTCTTTCTCTCTTCTATCTTTAATTCTTGCTTTTTATTAATTGTTTGGTTGTTCTTTGCATGTTTAATTGTTAGATTCTACTTAATTCTTAGTTTTAATTTGTTCATGAATTCCTTGAAATCTTTAATTGCTTTAACCTCCATGGATTGTGAGTAGTCTAATTCCTAGGGTTTGGGTGAACCCTCAATGTAATCACCAACACTTGTTGCATGAACTAATTTGTTAATTGTGGGGTGTTAATTAGTTGAGTTTAAGAGGTTTCATTGTTAATTCTTGTAATTGGCCATTGCTTGAATTATTTATCTAGCTTCCTCAACGAAGGATCGAGAGATGAACTTGAGGAAGCTCCCTTATGCTTGATTGACTTGATTTGCCATGAGAATAGGAATTTCTAGTCAAGGGAATTTGCATGTTATCGTGAGGATGTTTTAACACTTGTTTCTTGCCCATAATCACGAGAGTAGGTTATGGTTTTGATGTCAAGTAATCCCTCTAGCTTGAGAGAGTAGTTGGGTGCATTTGATAACTTCCCCTAATTTATCCCCTAAATCACCATTTCTATGCATGCTACTTGTGGTCCGTGATGAAGTTTAGTGGTGTAACCCATGCCCTAGGCCTTCTTAATATTGTTAATCACCTCTTAGAATTAGTTGATTTGAATTAGAATAGTGTGACGTAATACCAACTTAAAACCCCCGACTTAATCTAGCTTGTTTAAACAATAACATTTGGTGGTTGATTCAACGCCTCTCATGGGTTCGACCCTTTCTTGCCCTTGCTACTAGTTGAGTAGGATCGATTTAGGTCTTATTTCTTGATAGGTTGACGACGTCCTATCAAGTTTTGGCGCCGTTGCCGGGGAGGCAAAGTCACATTGAATAAGTTATTGTTGAATGAGTCTAGATTTGTGTATATGTATATAATCTTCTTATTTTGTTTTTGTTTAAGCGTGTTTACTTTGTGATAGTCATTGCTAACGTTTTCCTTAGCTTTGTTTGACTGTGCATGACACGGAGGAGTAAGCAATCACCGCTTATCCCCGTAGATCCGGAGTTAAATAGAACTTTGAGGAACGTAAGAAGGCTCCTACAAGGCACCCCGGAATTTTTTCTAGCTTATACGGATTCCGAGTCGGAGGATAATCTTGACAACGAGCAAGAGATGGCCAACCCACCGCCTCCTCCACTTCTACAAGACTATGACCACCCCGATGCATTCCAACTTCGGAGTGGCATACTTCTTCCCACCACCAATGCAAACAACTATGAGTTCTCTCCTTAACTCATAAGGATGATCCAAAGTGAACAGTTCGGGGGGAGTGCAAATGAGTGCCCTCTAGCTCATTTAGACAACTTCCTTGAGTTGTGCACTACCATCAAGCAAAACAACCTCACGGAGGAATTCATTTGGATGCATATGTTTCGGTTCTCTCTTAGGGACAAGGCTAAGTGTTGGTTGAGGTCCGTGAAAGAAGGATCCTTAACAACATGGGAAGAGGTTACCAAAGCATTTCTTGGGAAGTTTTGTCCGCCCGAAAAGACCGCGGAATTGAGAAGGAAGATTACAAGCTTCACTCAAGAGGATGATGAAACCTTAGGTGAAGCATGGGAAAGATTCAAGGATCTAAAGAGGAAGTGTCCACACCATGGGTTGCCTTTATGGATGATTATTCAAAGCTTCTACGACGGTCTCACTCCTACCTCAAGGGCCAATCTTGACAACGGAGCCGGTGGTAGTCTTAAAAAGCTACCGGTGCAAGAAGCCGAGAATATGATTGAAGAAGTTGCAAGGCATTACGCCTATAGATATGATAGAAGAGAAAGTCAACCGAAGAAGAAAGGTATGCATGAGTTGAGTGCAATAGATCTCATTGCCTCAAAGTTTGATATGCTAGCTCACAAGCTAGACCAAGCAACCTCCTCAAGCGGTACCTCCTCTTCACAACCACAACCACAAGTCATGTCTTGTGAGACTTGTGGGGGTAATGATCACATGGCTTCATATTGCAATGCTACTAATGAGCAAGTTGCGGCCATGAACCAAAGAAATGAGCAACCTTTCAATCAAGGTTAGAGGCAACAAAACCAAGGGTGGAGACAACCCAATCAAAACCAACAATCCAACTACAACAACCCTCCTCAAAACATCTACAACCAAAATCAACAAAATCACCAAGCCCCATACCGCCATCCAAACCAACAAAGACAGCAATTCAACCAACAACCTCCTCCACCCCAAAAGACTTCCCTTGAGGCCGCTCTTGAGTCTTTCATAAATCAACAAGGGAAGAGCAATGCAGAAATGAGCTCCAACATCCAACAACTTCAAGCGCACAACAAAATAATTGAGAATCAACTAGCTCAAATTGCACAACAAGTTGGGAGTTCTACCTCCAATGCTAGTGGTCAATTTCCAAGCTCAACGGTTGTGAACCCAAAGGAGCATGTCAAGGCTATCACATTGAGGTCCGGGAGAGGGTATGAAGGTCCGGTAATGAGTGAAGATGTGCCACAAAAGAGAGATGAGGGTGTGGAGGTGAGAAGTGAGAATGATGTTGAAAATGAGGTGGTAGAAGTTGAGAGAAAAGAAAAAGAAAAGAGTGTTGAGGGAGACACGAAGAAAGGAGAGGGAGTTGAAGTTGAAGTGGAGAAACCCCCAATGAGAGTCTACAAGCCACCTATTCCTTTCCCTCATAGGTTGGTAGAGAAAAAATTGAATGAGAAGTTTTCAAAGTTCCTTGAGGTCATGAGAGGGCTCCAAGTGAACATTCCCTATTTCATGCTATGTCACAAATGCCTACATATGCGAAATTTTTAAAAGATCTCTTGTCCAACAAAAGTAGGCTTGAAGAGAGTGCAACCATCTCCCTTCCAATGGAGGTGAGCGCAATCATTCAAAACAAGCTTCCCCGAAAGCTTGGTGACCCGGGTAGCTATGCAATTCCGGTGAAGATTGGAGATATGGAAGCCATGGATGCTCTTTGTGATCTTGGGGCAAGTGTAAGCTTGATGCCCTTCTCAATTGCGAAAAATTTAAAAGTTGGTGAGATGAAGCCAACAAGAATCTCAATACAATTAGCCGATCGTTCGGTTAGGTTACCAATGGGAATACTTGAAGATGTACCGGTACAAGTGGGAAGAGTTTTTGTACCTTGTGACTTTGTGGTGATGGAAATGGAGGAGGACAACAAGGTTCCTCTCATTTTGGGAAGGCCGTTCTTGAACACGGCGGGAGTGGTAATTGATATGAAACAAGGCAAGCTAACATTGAATGTGGGAGATGAGAAAATTTCTTTCTCATTCTCGCAAGCCATGAGGAAGCCTATGTATGAGGATATCAATAGAATCGATACTCTTGACCGAGAAGTGGAGGAATTGAAGATGATGAACAATAGCAAAGATACTCTACAAGCGATCCTCACGGAAAGTTTGTACAATGATGATGATGAAGCTAAGGGGTACAAGTTGTTGCTAGACCAACCCCTACATGGCAAGGCAAGGGAGTTTGAAGCACTTAAGGTGGAGGTAAAAGAGGAGAGGTCTACGCCTCCTCCTAAGGTTGAACTTAAACCCCTTCCCCTTCACTTAAATACGTTTTTCTTGATGATAATGAGACTTATCCCGTTATTGTCAATACCAACCTTGATGACACTTCCCTTGAGAAACTCCTAGTTGTGTTGAGGGAGTATAGGAGTGTCATTGGGTATGCCATTGATGACATTAAGGGGATAAGTCCCACGATATGCATGCACAAGATTTTGCTTGATAATGATCATGACTCCTCAATTGAGCACCAAAGAAGGCTCAACCCCAACATGAAAGAAGTTGTTAAAAAAGAGGTTTTGAAACTTCTTGAAGCGGGCATAATCTACCCTATCTCCGATAGCAAGTGGGTTAGCCCGGTTCAAGTTGTTCCAAAAAAAGGGGGCATGACCATTATCAAGAACGATAAGGGTGAGACCATTTCTACAAGGTCGGTCACCGGGTGGAGAATGTGCATAGACTATCGAAAATTGAACAAATCCACTCGGAAGGACCACTTCCCTCTCCCCTTTATCGATCAAATCTTGGAAAGGTTGGCATCACATAGTCACTATTGCTTCTTGGATGGGTATTCGGGATTCCTCCAAATCCCTATCCTACCCGAGGATCAAGAGAAGACTACATTCACATGCCCTTTTGGCACCTTTGCTTATCGAAGGATGCCATTTGGATTATGTAATGCACCTTCTACATTTCAAAGGTGTATGATGTCTATCTTTTCCGACATGCTTGAATCATCAATCGAGGTATTTATGGATGACTTTTCTGTTTGCGGTTCATCTTTTGACACTTGCCTAAGTAATTTGATTAAAGTGTTAAAAAGATGTCAAGAGGTGAACCTTGTGCTTAATTGGGAAAAATGTCATTTCATGGTTGAAGAGGGTATTGTGTTGGGACATGTTGTTTCTAGTAGGGGCATTGAGGTTGATCGTGCCAAAATTGAGGTTATTGAGCGCCTCCCTCCCCCCACTAATGTGAAGGGTATAAGGAGTTTTCTTGGACACGCGGGTTTTTACCGCCGGTTCATTAAAGATTTTTCCAAAATCGCTAAGCCGCTCACTCAATTGTTGGTAAAGGATGCCCCTTTTGTGTTTTCTAATGATTGTTTGCTAGCCTTTGATAGGTTGAAGGAAGCTTTGATCACGGCTCCCATCATTCAACCACCGAATTGGGAGCTCCCTTTTGAACTCATGTGTGATGCTTCGGACTATGTCGTTGGATCTGTGCTTGGGCAAAGGAAGGATAAAAAGCTCCATGCCATCTATTACACTAGCAAAACTCTTGATGAAGCACAAAGAAACTACACAACGACTGAAAAAGAGCTCCTAGCCATCGTCCATGCTATCGAAAAGTTTAGGTCTTACTTGGTGGGCTCCAAAGTTATAGTCTTCACCGACCATGCGGCTTTGAAGTACTTGCTGTCCAAGAAGGACGCTAAACCACGGTTGATTAGGTGGGTCTTGCTCTTACAAGACTACGATATAGAAATTCGGGACAAGAAGGGTGCCGAGAATGTAGTAGCCGATCATCTCTCACGGCTACCGATCGTAGAAGGTGAAATTGAAGCTTTTCCAATTGATGATTCATTCCCGGATGATCAATTATTCGCAATCATTCAAGCCCCGGCCCCATGGTTTGCGGATATTGTAAATTACTTGGCTTGCTCCATCCTTCCTCCCGACCTCACCTATCAACAAAAGCGGAAGTTCCTCCATGATGTCCGCCAATACTTTTGGGATGACCCCTTGCTCTTCAAACAAGGTGTTGATGGTCTTTTTAGAAGGTGTGTCCCCGACGATGAAATTCATGAAGTTATCACAATGTGTCACTCCTCACCTTGTGGAGGACATATGAGTGCTAACAAGACATTGGCGAGAATATTGCAATGCGGTTTCTATTGGCCCTCTATGTTCAAGGACGTATGGGGAGTTGTTAAAGCTTGTGACCGGTGTCAAAGGACCGGTAATTTGTCAAGAAAGAACGAAATGCCTTTGAATAACATTTTAGAGCTGGAAATTTTCGATGTGTGGGGAATAGATTTTATGGGACCTTTCCCATCCTCTTTTGGGAACAAATACATTTTGGTGGCCGTCGACTATGTATCAAAGTGGGTTGAAGCGGTTGCATCTCCTACAAATGATGCTAAGGTAGTAGTCAAGTTGTTCAAGAAAGTCATTTTCCCTAGGTTTGGTGTGCCACGTGCCGTAATAAGTGATGGAGGATCGCACTTTGCAAAGCGATCTTTCAAGGCTCTCCTTGAAAAATACGGAGTGAGGCACAAGGTGTCATTGGCTTACCACCCTCAAACAAGTGGTCAAGCTGAAATTTCAAATAGGGAGATTAAGTTGATACTAGAGAAGACGGTGAATAGGTCAAGGAAGGATTGGTCATCAAGGTTGGATGATGCTCTATGGGCCTACCGCACCGCCTTCAAGACTCCTATTGGCACCACCCCTTACAAGCTCGTTTATGGGAAGTCATGCCATCTACCGGTGGAACTGGAACATCGTGCGCACTGGGCTATCAAAACCTTGAATTTTGATATCCAATCCGCCGGAGAAAAGAGGATGCTTGACCTCCATGCCTTGGAAGAGTTGAGGTTAGATGCATATGAGAGTGCAAAGATCTACAAGGAGAAGACCAAAGCATGGCACGACAAGCACATCAACAAGAGAGAGTTCAAGGAGGGTGACAAGGTCTTGCTATTTAACTCCCGGTTGAAGTTGTTTCCGGGAAAGCTAAAATCAAGATGGAGTGGCCCTTTCACCATTACAAAGATATTCCCATATGGCGCCATTGAGATTTCCAACGACAAAGGTGAACCATTCAAAGTTAATGGCCAAAGGTTGAAAGCATACTTCGATGGTTTCGTGCAAGAAGAAACAAAGGTAGTTCATTTAGATGAATTTGATATCCCTCGTGATTGAAAACGTAATATGGTCAAGCTAGTGACAATAAAGAAGCGCTTCCGGGAGGCAACCCGAGTATTTTAGTAATTTTACTCAAAAAAAAAAAAAAAAAAAAAAGGAGAGTAAACGTGCCAAAAGCAGCAAGTATTCTGCCAAGTTAAGCACGTCCGTGCCAAAATCAGCACGTCCGTGCCAAAAGCAGCACGTCCGTGCCGATAATGGCACGTCCGTGCTTTTACAGGCAGAAAGTTGAGAAGTATTCTGCCAAGTTAAGCACGTCCGTGCCAAAAGCAGCACGTCCGTGCCAAAAGCAGCACGTCCGTGCCAAAAGCAGCACGTCCGTGCCGATAATGGCACGTCCGTGCTTTTACAGGCAGAAAGTTAAGCACGTTCTGACTTGAGCTGCACGTCCGTGCCAATGCTGCACGTCCGTGCATACCAAGTATTTAAGGCCGAAACTGCTCGAAAAAAAGAAAAAAATCCACAATTTTTTTGTTCTTCCTCTCAAACCCACGGTTCTCCTCCTTCTCTCTAACCCCTCTTACTCCTCCTCTCAACCCTTAAACACTCAAATTCTCACCCAAAATTCAACATTTCCCACCATAATCAACACTCCTTTTCA